GGGTGGCCAAGCCACCCTCTAGTAGTGGTGGGTTTTTAAACAGCATCAATCTTCCTACGCAAATAAAGCTTTTCTGGGATTTTCAGTGGCGTGCTGGGGGTTTGTCTCTGCCGAGGACCCTGTGGCCAGCTCCAGCTCCCAGTGGGGATCGCCATGTGTGGGAGGGACATGGGGATAAGGGCACAACAGCCCTGTGGGAACAGGAGCCCTGACCTGCAATTAGACCCAGATACCATTACCTCCATGGGTTTCTGATATAATTATTGGTGACTGTTGGGTTTTATCTCCCACGTTAGAGATGCCAGCAGTGCTGGGTGGCAGCCACCTGCGAGCTCCCAAACCCAAACCCCATCACTCTCCTCTCCCCCTCCCAGCTCTGTGGGGTGCTCCCCGTGATCACCCCAGCTCCTTTCCACCCCATCCAGGCTTGGCCAGGGGACAGGACCCAAGAAGGGGCAGATGTGGGGCTGGGAGGGGGGCTCTGCCTTCCGCAGTGGAGCTCAGACACCCGAACAAGGGCGAGCATCCCGATGGGCGAGCCTCCCTGCACGGCCCCTTCGTGGCAGCTCGCTGGGCGTGCGCCAGCCTTACAGAGCTGCCAGCTGTCCCAGGGGGCTTACGCCAGCCCTGTAGTGTCACCCGGGGCTGGCGCTTTTGTCCCCAGCTGGCGCGGGGGCAGGCAGAGCCCACAGCTGAGGGCCAAGCGCCCAAGCAAACATCAATCTCCCTCTGTCCTCTGGGCCAAGATTCACAGACCGTCTCTGTTGGTACCTCACAGCCCCGTCGCCTGCCCAGCCCCATCGGGGTCTTCTGCAGCGGGGAGGAGAGAAAGCGAGGTGCACCCACGCTGATGTGGTGCTGGGGTTGTTCTTTAGATAGGACAAACCAAACCCCCCTGAGGTCTTGCTCCTGCCGCCACCCCAAACCTGGAGGGTTTGGTTCCCCAGCCAAGGGGAAAGCAGGGAAATGTTCAGTGCACCCAGTTTCTTCACTCCCTGCTCTCCTTTTTCTCCCTTGCTGAAAGTCAGGTCTGGGCACCAGTGTCTGTTTGGAGACAAACACTGCAGTCAGCCCTAAGCCACCCGGCTCTGGGAACAGATACATCCCAGAAAAACGAAAATGCTAAAAACCCAACACACCTTTCCAAAGCTAAAGCCCCAGGTCCCACGCACTGGTTGCAGCGAGGGGGGGCTCACTCCTGGCATGGCACTAGCAAAGGCACGAGGGGAGCACTGCCCCATGCAGACCCTTTCGGTTTGGGTGTCCCCAGGAACAGTTTCAGGGTTTGGAGCTGCACTCAGCCTGGTTCTCCCAGTAGCCCAGTTTGGACTGGGAGCCACTGGGAAACCCACACAGCTGTAGGGCTGTCACTGCCTGCCAGAACACAGCTCCAGCAGATCCCTCGCATCCTGGGGACAGCGGCAGCACCCAGGCTGGGGTGCTGAGCCCCACGCCCTCCCGCAGGTCGCAGCGTGGCCAGGGGTTAGCCCAGGTGGCTCCATCCCCCAGCAAAGCCTTCAGACGGAGTCAGTTTTCCATCTCCCACCCAAGGTTGTGCACTGGGGGACACATCCCAGCCACCATGGGAAGCAGCATAGACACAGGACCAACAGCCACGGCCAAGTTAATTGCTGGTTTAAATGGAAGTTAGCAGAGTTACACCAGGTTAATGGGAATCCCAGACAGTAAAATGAGCGTCATCGGCACTGGCCGCTTCCCGACAGCCTGCCAATGGCATGCCCAGGGCTGGGCGGCCACAGGCACACACAGGTTTGGGGCAGCACGGCCCCTTGCCAACCCAAGGGCTCCCTGGGGTGCTTGCGTGGAGCCAACAAAACGTGCCCTTGGCCAGGCACTGCACAGCACACCACACCAGCCAGCCCCCCCTCCTCCACCAACCACAGAGGGCCTGATCCTGCTCTGCCGCTGTGTGTGGCAGCATCAGGGTGCCAAACCTTCCCTTCCTCCCCACCTCCTTCACCAGGGCCTCCTGCCCGCACACACACCCTGGAGCCGCCTTTGGGGCAACACCAACTGCCAGAGGTTTATCAAACCACCCTGTCCAGATGGACCGATGCCCACAGAACAGTATGTCCCATGCTGTTTGGGACACCAGGTTTGGAGCCAGGCGAGTTCAATGCAGCAAGAACAGGCCCCTGCCGTGGCTCTGAGCACTCAGCACCCTTCACACTTTGCCCAGGCATGGATTTGTTTTAAAGAAAATAAATGGCTCCAAAGTCAGCCAGCCAGTCTTGAGCGGGCCAGGGCTGCTCCTTACAGATGGGGAAACCGAGGCACGAGGAAAGCACCAGGAGCTGGACTGGCAGCGTGCCCTGCTGGGATCTGGCCACACCACAGTGCATGAAGCCCTCGCAGGACCACAGACCCGCTGTGGCCGGCCCCGTAAGGGCAGGATTCTTCCATCACAGGGAAGCTCCAGGTTTGGGGCGCTCAGGCAGCATGGCTGTGCCAGCACCGCAGCCCTCTGCACAGGTCTGCCAGCGCTGCCCCCAGACACAGGAGACCCAGGAGCATTTTGGCCCTCAGCGTGCCCCTGCCATCTGAGCTGCAGCATCACACCACAGCCTTTCACCTCCATCCACTCAGAGGGGCTTTGCTGGTGCCCTGCCAAACCCCACGCCCCCACGGCTGCATCCACCCCCACAGCATCGCTTTGGGACCAGCCTGCGCCGCTCAGGAGAAGGCAGCCAGCCCATGCAGTCCATGGGGCATCCCATATGCTCCCCAGCCCAAGGGCTGTGGGTGGGCCAGGTACTGCCTGGGGGACAGGCAGGACACCTGGGAAGGGGCAGAGAGGGAGGGCTGAATCCCAGAGACAAGCAGGGATCATCCCTGCAGCGCTCCCAAGCCCTGGGAATATGGGATAACTGCCCAGCTCCACGCTGTGGTTTTGCACAAGAAAAAACAAAGAGATAAGGTTTTCCAGCCCCGAAAGTGGCTTGTTTTGTCCGACTTTGAGAAGCCTCTGCGCTTCAGCCCCTCAAGGGGCAGGGGGAGGACCCCGGCACTAAAACAAGGAGCAATTATCAAACCATGGGCTCTGAAGAGCTTTTGTTCCCTGGATGCGCCAGAGCAGGGATCGGAGGACACCTAGCGAGATGCCTCGATGTCCCCAAGCACCAGCGGCACCCAGAGCCCAAGGCTGTGGCAGCCCCAGCCCTGCAGCGGTCCCATCCTGCTCCCCTCCTGCTGTGGCAGCACCCAAAACGAGAGCTCCAGTGGGGCTGCAGGTGCTGATCCATCCCTGGGGGAGATGCACAGGAGGGAAGAATCGGCTCCTCGTTTCCGATTTCCCACTGCTCTCACTGCTGCCTTGGCAGAGGGAGCCTCCATGCCTCCTTGACAGGCCACACACTTTGCCAATGCTGATACCTCCAGCAGGATGAGGCCCAGCAGCACTCACAGGTGCGTGACTCCTGCAAAAACAGGGATTAAATCTAGGGCTCATCTCAGAGACACTGACTGGAATGCAGGTGCTCCTTACAGCTCTCTCAGCCCTGCTGACACCAGCACTGCCCCTTCCCAGAGGTTCTCATCTCAACCCCCCAGTCAAGCTGATTTTACTGGTGTAAATGGGGCAATGTCCAGTAACTATGACTTACTCTCATGGCTGAACTTGTTTGAGTGCACAGCCTTTGAGTGCAAAGATCTGGATGGGCACAGGCACCCCAGGCAGCGACACTCTGGATACAGCCCCTCAGGGATCCCCACAAGCAGTCCGAGCCAGAGCAAACAGCTCGGCCATACCCCACGCTCTGTATTGGCCTCTTGCCAGCGCTGGATCGAGCCCTGGGCTTCACTCCGATCCTTGGATTCCTGCAAGAGAACCAGGCTCTGCACAGACCCCATTCCCCTTCCTTACCTCCCAACCTACAGTACCATAAAACACCCCGAGCTCACAGTAGAGACACCGCCGCCAGCTCCTCAGCACAGCCGAGGCACCCGAGCCCTGTGCTCCAAACACCCCATGCAGCCAGGCTGCAGGATGCTGTCTGAAGAAATGGTGTAACACCAAACCACTCCTCCTCCATTGATGTTGGACAAGTTGTCCCAGTCAAGGAGCAGTAGCGCTCAAGGTAAAAGGCAAAGCAAGGACGATGAACCCAGTGGTGTGTCTGAGGGATGAAGGAACCCAGGGGCGTTAAGAGGGTATTGGTGACAGACAAGGAAAGAGAACAGGGGGAAGAAGGTGCTCTGAGGAGGAAGGTGCCATCAGAGGGTTCACTCAGGAGCTGCTCACAGGAGGTTTTGAGGCAAAGCTGAAGAACAGACGCAAAACCAGGCCCCAGGCCCGTAAGGAACAACCCCCCCTTTCCACAGGACCCTGTGCTCACACAGTCAGCACTGACACCATGGAGCACGCACAAACCCACAGCCCCGGTGCTCACGGCAGCCCCGAGTCCCACCAGGCGCTCCAGGCACGGGGCCACACTGCTGCAGGACCGGGCCCAGGAGCAGGGAGGGGGCGCACGCAGAGGCTCCCACGCCGGGGGAA